ATTTGTCGAAACGAATATTGTATGGCTCCATACATACAAATTTGAATCGTCGACGTGAGTCTTCGGTCAGTACAGGCTATAGAGGCTACATGTCAACTGTATAGATTTTGCTCGGCCATCTTGAATATCGCAGCGACTTTTGTCACGACGATCTCGACATACAGGTTGGAAGCGACTGTTTATGGCGATAAAAAACATCGGCGACGCACTCTGTATACAAATCTTTATAACATTGTATGTCGTAAGTCGCGTAAAGATTAAAATCGCTGAGTTTCAAATATTTACGTCGCCTTGTGTAGGAAGGTCCTTAATCTACGTAACAAATACCTCGATGATAGTATTCTTGGAGAGTGGAAGTAGCTGGCGGACACTCTGCACTGAGGGTCCATGCCGGTCGCCGATCTCCTTCTTGAGCTTCTTCATGAGGTTCTGGTAGTGCTTCCTGTTGTTGTCGTCTCCGCCCTCCGCCAATGTAGAGTGGATCAGTGTTGCTAGCATATCGATTAGTGTCGTGAACAGATTGCTGCGGCATAACCTGAGAGTTTGTATGTTATTATGAATTAAACCGTTTATATTATGAAAAATGCAAAGAAAAATGACTAGCAAATCAATTTAAGACATTATGGAGAATGAAATTCTCTAAATCTTACTAATATTATAAATGCGAATGTTTATATGGATGTTTGTTTGAAGATATCTCTAAAAAAAGCTAAACGAATCACGATGAAATTGGTCATGGATGTAAAAGTGCGACAGTTATAAAGTTTTTTAATGGTTAGTAATAATTACGTGTTATTGTAGGCATCTAGGACTTGGTGGGCGAGTAGCTGTGTGAGAAGCACTGCCCAGTCGGAGGTGAGCTGGTAGGAGCGGCGGATGGCGTCGAACATGCCGCCGGCGAGTGAGAAGCGCAGCAGCAGCGCGTCTGCGGGCACCTCGTCGTGCGCGTCCCCGCACGCCGCGCGCTCCTGCTCGCGCGCACGTCCCAGGTAGTGCGCCAGCTGCGCGTGGATAGAGCTCAGCAGGCTCTCCTGAAAACACAACACATACAATCAACACACGTACTAAACAAATAGGATACTAAACTCACTCAGAGTCGGCTAATTACCTAAGCAATGTAGATACCTCATACTAAATCTACAAACCTAATATCTACCTATACTCATAGATCTTCTTAGTGTCTATTTATGGACTCTGAGTGTGGCATTTTTACTTTAATATTAAGAAATGTTGCAATATTTTTTATTGATTGACGACCTTTTGATCATCCTGATTTCTGAGGCAGGTGAGGACGAGCGAGAGCAGCGGCTCGTTGGCGAGACGAACTGCAGCCGCACCTCCGCACGCGCACCCCGAGCCCGACATGCCGCTCACACCGCGCTTCCCGCCTCCACCGCCTCCAGCAG